ATAAATCACATTAGGAAACGCAACCTTATTTTCCCTCCTCAGGTGAAAAATGGCAACCTCATTAATTCTCACTTAATCAGTACTACTTAACCTGTCTTATGTATTACCTTGATAAGTATAAAACGACCTTGGTTCTATTCTGGTACATAAGTGACTTTTTCACCTTTACAACACCGCAATAATGAGTTTTAAGTACGTGGTCTAATGTGGTTTAACACTATTATCATACAATTTGTTATTGGTTTTATGTAGGTGTGGGTTTTTTTAGGGGAGGTGGTTGGGTGGGTTTTTTGGTGTATGTCTAAGTTAAGGTGAAATATTTTATATATGGGTGTGGTTTTTTTTTCAGTGGGTCTTTTGTAGAAATTTGTAGTTCACTTGTTTTTTGTTTTTTTTTAATTTTCAGTTTATATATTTTTTCTTATTAGTTATTTTCTTAGTTTTATCTATATCTCTGTATCTATCTATCTATCTATCTATCTATCTATCTATCTATCTATCTCAAGAACGTAATCTAGTGCTTAAAGACCCTGACAGCTCAATCACCTATAAACATTAAGACAACAAAAAACAAATGAATATCACGATTACAATTTCAAAACGTTTATACTAATTCATAAATCTATATTTCTATCTTAGAGTTAATGACTAGTGCTGTTAATTAGTGTGTGTGTGTGTGTGTGTGTGTGTGTGTGTGTGTGTGTGTGTGTGTGTGTGGAAGGATATTATCTTAGATGTTGTTAAATACCTTAGTCTTGGTGAACGCTTGAAGAGTATCTGTAATGGTGAAATAAAAGACTATAGTGGTGATTGAGGTTTTGTTTTTGTTCAATAGCATCGGGATTTTTTTTTTAATATAATGTCTAGACCAAAATGATCTCTTCAACGCTTATAAAATCACCAGGAATTTAGTTTCAGCAGAATGGGATTAAATCATATCTAGGAAATTTTTTTTAAATCAGTATTTACGAGAAGATTTATATATTTACTAAGAATTTACCTGAGAATTAAATAGAAAAAAAAATATTATGTACAAGTTTTGGCTTATGTGGATTTTTTTAATTTGTGTTTTTCTTCAAGTTTTATATTTCAACCATTGGATTTTATTTACGTTGAGAGGGAAAAAATACTGTATGTTTTTTTTTCCAGAGTTCATTAGACTTAGTGTATAATATAAATACCTAGCTTGTTTATAAGAGTTCAATGGCAGACTATTATTTTTCTCAACTTAGTCTATTAATTATAAAAAGTAAAAACAATAGGAACAAATCACCCTATATATTTTTTTACACACACACACACACACACACACACACACACACACAGTGATTTCAGGACCGCCGCCATTACAGAGGCTTTTAATCAGTGACAAAATAATTGGTCATTAGATAAAGGTAAACCATGAATTTCAATAATAATAAATTGGTTACTAGATACACAGGTAGTGTGAGGTACAGGTATTGTGTTACCATTTAGTCAAGTAACTATTGGGAGTTTGTGGACGTGATGAGAGAGAGATAGAGAGAGAGGACGGACGGAAGAATGGCAGAGAGAGACAGAGTGAGAGAGACAGACAGACAGACAGACAGAAACAGACAGGAAAAAACAGGGAAATAGAGTGACAGACAATGGTCTCTTTCTCCTTCCTTCCTTCCTTCCTTCCTTCCTTCCTTCCTTCTCCTCTACTTTCCTTTACTATAGTTAATTTCATTATACCATTATCATCTTCCTTGGCTATAACTATTTCTGTCCCGTCAATTATTTATTAAGTAATTTCATGTTTTCCTCTCTCTCTCTCTCTCTCTCTCTCTCTCTCTCTCTCTCTCTCTCTAACTCTCAGCGTCCCGCCTGATCGATCATATAAATGTTTACTATCACATCTCTCCTCCTCTCCCTCCCTCCCACATCTAATCCTCCTCTTCCTCTCTCCATCATCCCTCCCTCCTCCCCCTCCCTCCATCATCCCTCCACTCCTCACTTCCTCCTCCATCATCTCTCCTCCTCTTCCTCCCTCCATCATCCCTCCCTCCTCTTCCTCCCTCCATTATCCTCCCTCCTCCCCTCCCTCCATCATCCCTCCCCTCCTCTTCCTCCCCCTCCATCATCCCCTTCCCTCACCCCTAATATTCCCTCCTCCTACCTCATTCTCCTCCCCTTAACAACGGTACCAACTGTCTCCAGGCGAAATATAAAGAAGAAAAAAAAAACGAACGCCAGGTTGGCACTCATTCGCCAGACGGGTGACGAGGGTGATCTGACACGAGTATCTGGCAACAGTGGCAGATAATGTTTTGATATGTATGACCAATTGCGCTGTGGGTGGAATTTGTGTATGTGAATTATACAAACATATACAAATGAATCCTGACAAACACACACACACACACACACACACACACACACACACACACACACACACACACACACACACACACACACACACACACACACACATTTAAAATATACAATAGTACAAGCAGCAGAATATACTAACAATGGTATGTGTACGTGTGCTTTTGTATATTTGAACACTTTACTTGTGTATGTGTTTTCATGTACACGTGATTTGGTTGTATCATGTACACCTGTTGTGTATGAGACGTAAAAAACCGGTTCATATTAATGTACACCCCTGGAATGTTGTGTACACTTGGTATTTCATGTCATGTACACCTGTTCTCTTGCGTTATGTACACACCTGTTTCCCCTGATGTGTACATTTGTATTTTTTTTATTTTGTGTACACATCTGTAGTTTTCTCGAGTTCGTGTACACATCTTTGGAATTCATGTATACTGCTTTTACGGTCGTCGTGTACATGCAGTGTCCATATGTGTGTACATGTGTGTTTTAGTGTAGCCGTGTGTACTTATATTTACTGAGGTCATTACACATGTAAGTCTTGTGACGTTAAATACACTTCTCATTTTTGACATCGCTTAATGATCTTTGATAATTTATATACATTTACACCAAATTTATGAGCAACTCTCACACTCAAATTAGAACTCAGTCTCTAGTGTAACTCACGAACTCAAATAAGTGAGTCAGTTGAGTAGACTGACTCAAAATTATGCATTTCTAGAGAAGATGGACTCAAATTTATAAACTATAGGAGCTATATGACTCAAATTTTTCGATATATGAGCTCAATGACTCAAACTTGTGGACCAGAAAGACAGTTTGACTCAATATTTTTTTTCTGTAACTCATGACTCGACAATAGAAGCGCCTTTGCTGTACCGTGTGCTTGAGGGAGTGACTCAACTCAAGTGTCAGTACCTGAATACGGTTCCTCATGCCCTCATCCTAATGGCCAAGTCGTGCTGATATCCGGCAGGTGATTGGTCATTACAGCCAACAACAAAATTTTGTGATTGGTGACTTCCAGGTATTACGATTCTTATGATAAAGAAAGAAAGAAAATATAGAGATTTGTTTTGTTTTTGTTTGAGTATACAGTATGTTAAGTTATTTTCGTGTGTATATGTCAGTAAATAACAACTGTGGGATATGTAAACTAAAAAATTTATTTAAGCGTTACATCCGCTTAAATAACATCTTACAAGCTTAATCCTCAATATAACACTAATAAATATGTGTGTTTGTATGTTTATAAAGATTGTATGTAAAATTCATAGTGTATAAGTGTTTAGTTATTGGTTAAAAGGTGGTGGTTCTGGTGGTGGGGTGAGGGTAATACTGCAGCCTACCATTTTTCCATCATGGCGTCTGGCAACTCCCCGGAGGTAGGCTGTGTAGCAAAGTTCAACATCACAGTTGCCAGTTTGTGTAAATATAGGGACTGGTACCAATTCATTAATTCTTCGTCGTTACCATTTGAGCGCTAAGCGATTGGTTTCGTATTTCCCATCTGCGTGGAAATTAAAAAAAAAACGAAATTAAAATCCCCATTAAAAAAATCTCTGTAATGAAACAACACCCGAAGTTGGGATTAAATTTCAGGTTTCCTCGTTTCGTTAAAATCGATAATTCTTTATATTTATTTTAAAGGGAAATTTTGTTATATTTTTTTAATCAGCTCTCCAGGTGAGAATACATACCTTGATGGTTTTATTACTTACCTTCAGGTTATATAATAAATAGGTGGTAAATACAGACAATAGTTTGCCATAGATTAGACTGGATGACACCGCCTCTCGATACAAGGTTCATTTTGTAGGCATTTCCAAGTCCATTTTATCTCTCTATTAAACTCTTGATCATTCCGACTAATATTACAATTGTTTTTTTTATCATACATACATACATACATACATACATACATACATACATACATAAGAAGGAAATAAAAGATACATAATTGTTTGATAATTTATAGAAAATATATTTGATGATCTCTTTAAAACCAAATATACATGACTAAGATCTGACCCTAAATATACATAATTCTGGCCCTAAAGATACACAATTTTGACCCTAAAGATACATAATTTTGGCCCCAAGATACACAATTTTGACCCTAAATATACATAATTCTGGCCCTAAAGATACACAATTTTGACCCTAAAGATACATAATTTTGGCCCCATGATACATAGGAACTAGTGTGGTGATGCACTTGAGGAGATGTGAAGTAATTCCTAGTTTATCTTCTTCGTTATTCTCTTATTTCTGTCTTATCATTTCTTCAGTGTATCTCGCTTCTTCACTTTCATTTATTTTTATCTTCATTTGTTATCAAGTTCCTGTTTTTTCTCTCTGTTAATATTGTAATTATGAAAAAAAGTATTAAAATCAGAAGTATTTTATTTTATTGATTTTTTTTTGGGGGGGGGAGGGGTAATTCTTCCAACTTTTATATTTTGTTTATTTGTTCTTTTTTCTTGCTTTGATCTTTCATTACTCGTGATCTTTATTTTCTTCCCCTAATTTTCTCTTTAGTTCCACCACAAATAAATTATTCGTGAATCTCAAAAAAAAATAAATAAACTTTTAAGACAAAAAAATCATGGAAAGGTTAATACAACAAAACACAGCAGGTGAAGCTGGTGAGGGTATGTCTACACCTAGTATATATACACCTGGTGATGTGTACTTAGTGTGTATAGTTGATGATGGCGGCAGTGTACATCTTTAATTATCTACCACCTGAGTCTACCTGGTGAGGCTCTCTAAGTCAACTCTGTGTGTGTGTGTGTGTGTGTGTGTGTGTGTGTGTGTGACTTATCGAGGAAGGCTGTGCAAAGTGGTTGTGTTTACATAGAGGTCGTGTTTTCTTGATATGTACACACACACTTTACACACACACACACACACATAACACCCACACATACATACATCCGTTGATTAATATGGAGTAAAAAAACCTCATAATATTTTTGTTGACAGCCGCCAACCACAGAGCCAATAAGAGCCGCTGCAGAGATCCTCAGACCCTTACCACCACCAGTCTTATCTCGCATGATTTAATTAAGAATTCTGGATCATACACGCTGGATGATCACCACTCCAGCATCATCCTCACCGCCGCTAAGATGATATCATCCTCCAGCCTCCTTAGATGTTCGGCTGCAGAGAGATAGAGAGACGAGATAAGGAGAGAGAGAGAGACGAGATAAGGAGAGAGAGAGAGAGAGATTAAGCACATCTTCCCTATACATTTATAAGAACTACCTCTGCATATATATAAATTCAAGGTTATATTCAAGTATAAAAATATAAAACTGACTTATAAAATATATATATATATATATATACATGATCCAAAAGTGAAGGTAAATTAGAAAAAATTAAACACCTTTTTTTTCGAAATTTTTTTGTGATCATAAAATATCGGAAAAATTATTCAAACTTTTTGGGTAAATTACTGAAGAGAAAAATACAACATATATTTTGCTGATGTTATGTGTCTGTGTGAGAGGTTTTAGCGGATCCTCTATGGGCTTATTACTTGGAGTTTGTTGTGAATTTATGGGTGATCAAATCTATGTAGAAAAATTCATACATACATAGATACATACCGTACACACATTGATACATACATACATACATACATATATACATACATGCATACCGTACATACATAAATGTATATACAGAGAACCTAACCTAACCTAACCTAACCTAACCTACACCAAAAATAGAAGTGAAAATAATATCCAATAATAAACCCAATATTTAACTTTTTTTAATCCATCTCTCTATTCATTTTTTTATTCTTAAGTCCTAAAATTAATAACTCGTATGAACTTAAGGTCTCAGACGGTCTCCTAAATCAAAGAGGAAACGATAAACAGGAGAGCTTATACATATGCAAATTAGAGTCTCGTAATTAAAGATTTTAGTGGGTGAAAAATAAATGTGTTTTCTTGTAATTTGGTTTTTTGACATTAGTTGAGGATTCTTAATATATTCATCTGTTCATGAGGTAAAATTTCTTCTAATGAAAGCTTCTTTTTTTTTCTTTTTTTCGTAAATTGGAAAATGGAAAAAAATAATTATTGTATTATTTTGTATAGGAGGGGGATTTTGACGTCATCATCGGCATAAGCCTTTAGGGGGACAGTTAATCTATAATGGGAAGAGCTAGTTAGAATTCGACTTCGTCTTCTGATTGGTTATTCATGTTTGGTGACGATTGGCAGAGGTGTGAGAGAGGTTCAGAAGTCAGAAATTGAGGTGTGAGAGAATCAGAGTCAGAGGTGAAGAGTGAGAATTGAGATCAGAGACTGTGACAGAAATTGAAGAGAGGGTGAGACTATTATGTAGACCTGAATAACATAATACACTAACATATTTCTTTTTATATTTATTTTTTTAACATTTTTTATCAATACTTTCCAAATATTTAACTCAAAAGACCGATTATAAATTACATATTAACATAAAAGTGTAAATAAACTATATAACCTAACACTCGGGCCAACAATAATAATATACCCAGCTAAAAAAAAAAAAAAAACACCACTCAGGGTAAACTCGCCTTTACCGTGTTAAAAAAATCGCCTTAAGAACTTTTCCTTTTCTGGCCTTTGAAGCGTAGCACTATGTTGCCTCTCTAAGCTTCAAATACCACCACCACCTCCTTAATTAACCGGGATTCCAATCATCAGAGCCAGTAGTTGGTCCCTAAAGGTAATTAAATGTCGCACTTCGAATTCTTCTCTCGCTACCTGAATTCCGAAGTTATTTCAAAGCATATCTTAGCCATGGGAGTTAATTATCCCAGTCCTCAGGAGCTCGCTAGAACAAGAGGAATGAATGGAAAATACCTGACGAAGTGGGAGGAGGAGGAGGAGAAGGGGCGGGGGACGCGGAATGCTAATTATTAGGTGATTCTGTGTAATTATGTTGATTAGTGGCACCTTGCGTCATCACGGTAATTGGCCCCTAGGTAAAGGCAGCTTCCTCCCTTCCTTCCATCCATCTGCATCTCTTTCCTTCCTTCCTTCCATCTCTTTCCTTCCTTCCTTCCTTCCATCTCTTTCCTTCCTTCCTTCCATCCATCTGTCTCTCCTTCCTTCCTTCCATCTGTCTCTCTTTCCTTCCTTCCTTCCTTCCTTCCATCCATCTGTCTCTCCTTCCTTCCTTCCATCTGTCTCTCTTTCCTTCCTTCCTTCCTTCCTTCCATCCATCTGTCTCTCCTTCCTTCCCTTTCCATCTGTCTCCTACTTTCCTTCCTTCCTTCCTTTCCTTCCTTACTTCTCCTTCTCTCCTTCCTTCCTTCCTTCCTTCCTTCCTTCCTTGGACGTCTTGTTCGATTAGTGGCACCTTATTTCATCACGGTAATTGGCCTCTAGGTAAAGGCAGCCTCTCATCCTTCCTTCCTTCCTCCTTTCATTCATCACTTTCTTTCATCCTTCTTTCCTTCCTCCCTTCCTTCGTCCCTTACTTCCTCCCTTTCATTCTTTCTTCAACTCATCTTACCTTCAACCCTTCCTCCTTGCATCCCTTCCTTCCCTCCTCTCTTCCTACCTTCCTCTCTTCCTTCCCTCCTCTCTTCACGCCTCGTTCCTCCCCAGTTACCCCAGGGACCCATCACGTCACTTAAGATTCTTTTCCAACTGTCTGTCTATCTCTGTCTGTATCTGTCTATCCGTCTGTCTGGTTCGTCTCTTCTGATGTCTTTGTCTACCTGTGCATCTCTCAAGGTGTATTGTTTATGTTTGGATTCTTTGTGTATCTGTTTGTTTTAATGTCTTTCTTGGGTGTTTTTTTTTTTATATTTGGATGTGAATGTTTTAATTTCTGCGATTTTTTTTTTCAGTTCGTCTTTGCAAGGTTTATGTTTTTTTTGGGGGGGTTTTTTCTTCTTCTTTTCTTTGTCTTTGCTTTTCTTTATTTAGATGGATTTGTTGCGATTTGTCATTTTCGTATTTGCATTAAGCTGGGCTATTATTATTATTATTATTATTATTATTAGATCTCATTCTATTATCATTCTTATTCCAATCTTCTGTACCTTCTTAATCCCCATACGTTAAGAGTTGCAAAAGTCAAAGGAAACAGAAATTTACCAATGTTTTTTTTTTTCTTACTTATCATGGCGCCATTGAGCTATTCTCCCTTCAGACTCCATTTCTGGTTCATAGTTTTGATATTTATGTAATTTTTCATTCATGGTGGCTTATGGGGCGACTCATTACTAACACGCTAACGTCTTGTCTTGATGGAAAATAAAACAATGAAGAGAGTGTTTCAGCCCCAGCGATTATGTGTGTGTGTGTGTGTGTGTGTGTGTGTGTGTGTGTGTGTGTGTGTGTGTGTGTGTGTGTGTGTGTGTGTGTGTGTGCTTACGATCGCCTTCCATCAATCAATTTTTCCTCGTCTCCTTACCAAGCACGGGATGTATACCATATAGTTCCTTCCCCCCCACCTTTTATCATCTTTGTTCCTGACCAGTAGGAGGAGGTATGCTTTGTGACGTAATCTCTCTTTCAATATTTTTTTTTTATATTTACAATTGATGAAACGAGGGAGAAATCTGGTGGGTGTTATTGTCAGATTTCGTCCATTAAAGTTGTTGTAGTTTTGTTAAAGAAGCAAGTTGTACTGAACTGTTTTTGATGTTAGTTGATATAGGAAATGCATTTATTGATATATTAATTCTTAACATTGTATAGCATATAGTAAACGCTCCTCTTAAAATAGTACTTGAATCTATCTATAACTTTATATATGGAAATACACTCAAATTACTATAACTTTACTCATCAAAGCAAGGTTCCAAACACACTTTCTTCCTAAAGGCCCTCACCTGTACTTGAGTGCTTGTAAGTGGAAGTATTGCTGTATTGTGAGTTAGGGTAATATATCTCGGTACAGCAGAGGCGTCCAGCTGTAACCTACCGCGGGGAAGTCCCTCTTTTGGCATGCAAGTGTGTGTGTGTGTGTGTGTGTGTGTGTGTGTGTGTGTGTGTGTGTGTGTGTATGTGTGTGTGTGTGTGTGTGTACTGCCTGAGGGTAAATAATAGGAGAGGAGTTTATACTATTGGTGAAAATGTTGGTAATACTAAGGTTGTTAATAGGAATGAAAATAGTAAAAATAATGATGATGATAATAATCGTAATCATAAAAATAAATATGAAAATAAAATAAAGGAAAAAATACAAATAATAATAGTAATAATAAGGATGATGATAGTAATGATAGCAACAATATTAACGATGATAACAGTAACAACAACAACACTAATAATAATAATAATAAAACAATAATATATAAAATAAGTAAAGAAACTATCAAATATACAACATTCATACAGGTGTGTCCAGGTAATGGCCTCATAAAACCATATACACCTTTACGTGGGGAGACATTAAAAAATTACACCACTAAATAAAAATCTGAAAATACATGGAATTATATTTCATGACAAAACGTCCATAAAAGACACATTCATCTGTTTTATTCCTATAAAATATATAATTATATAATATATGAAATTATATAAGTATGGTTTTATTTTATATTTTAAAGTATAATTTTGTTAATTTGTATACAGTCGTGATTACCTGTTGTAATTTATTTATTTTTTTAAGTTGGTCATTTAACTTGTTGATTTGATTTCTGTGTTGTTGTTATTATTATTATTATTATTATTATTATTATTATTATTATTATTATTATTATTATTATTATTATTACCCATAAAAACGTATTATTTTTCTTATAGTCGCACCATCTTACAGGACAGAAGGTGGCAGTCAACATCATTACAGTAATTCGTCAAATGTGAGGCAGACTTTAATTTCTCTCTCTCTCTCTCTCTCTCTCTCTCTCTCTCTCTCTCTCTCTCTCTCTCTCTCTCTCTCTCTCTCTCTCTCTCTTGTGGCCTAAGTCATTAGTAAAAATTGTTGAAGCTCATTAATTGTCCCTTTTATGCCAGCAGACAAATGAGGCTGTCTACCCCCGTCCCCCTCCCTACCCCCCCTCCCTACCCCCTCTCTCCGCCCCACCCTCTTCCTCCCTCACACACACAAAAAATGAACGTCTCTGATTGCGAAAAAGAATTACATCTGAGAAAGCTTTGTGAGTGTGTGTGTGTGTGTGTGTGTGTGTGTGTGTGTGTGTGTGTGTGTGTGTGTGTGTGTGTGTGTGTGTGTGTGTGTGTGTGTGTGTGTGTGTCGCTTTGTTATGAGGAAGATTGAAATGAAATTTTGTCTCATTCTTATTAGTGTAAGTAGGTTAGGTTAGGTTAGGTTAGGTTAGGTTAGGCTGGGTTAGGTTAGGTTAGATATCCAAGTATTTTTTTTTATCTATTTACCAAACAAACATCAACAAAAACTTCACCCTAAATAAAAAAAAAATAATAATAATAATAAAAAAATCGCAAAATACAAAACACTTAGACGGGATTAACTTCTATATTCTTGCATTATCTTACCAAATCAGTTTTAATTTGTTTTTTAATAACTAAAACCTCTTTGGATATTACGATGGAAAAATGATAAAAGAAATACATGGATATTTTTTCTTTCGGGTTCAACTGATACTTAACATCTGTTTGATTATTTAGTTATTACGTTTTATTTTAGTCGCGTTAGAGGAAGAGGAAGAAGATGTAGAATAAATTTGAGATAGAAGGATAACTACAAGAATAAGATGAAGAACAAAAACAACCAGAAGAATAACAAACACAACAGTCAATAACAAGAGTAATAATAAAAACACCAACAACAATTTGATAAAACGGAAGAGGAATAAAAGGTAGAAAAAGAATTTAAAGAAGAACACGAACAAGAATTAACATAATTGAGGAACACCTAAACTAAAGATTTGTCTTCCCATAAAGCTAATTAATTGTGATAGAATATATCCATCTAAATAATTAGTAACCAAATTAAATTAATACTGAAAAAAAAATATGGGACAACACAAGGGAAAAATATATATAATTATTATTTACTGATAAGAATATAATCATCTTCTGAGTTTTGGATTATATTTATAATTAAATTGGGTGTTACGAGATCTTTGGGAGAATTATCTTAACGGGGGAGACAGAAAAGAGAGAATGAGATAAAGAGAAAAATAGGTGAAAAGAGAGAGAGAGAGAGAGAGAGGGAGAGGAATGAGGGAGAAGGAGTAAGTGAGATGTACAGAGTAATGGAGAGATATTTGAATAAATATATTTAGAAGGGTAAGAGATAGGGAGAGAAAATAGAACGAAATAGAGAGAGAATAAGAAAGTAAAAGAGAGAGAGAGGGAGAGACATAGAGAGAGAGGGAGATACAGAGAGACAGAGAGAGAGAGGGAGAGAATGTGTTATTACCTAACTTGCCCATCATCACTCACAATTATGCTATTTTTTACATCACATAATTATATAATCTTGGGGTCATTTTGTGGAAAATACTTGGTCAGTTTGTTTACATAAATCAGCTGTTTCTTGGGATTCTTCAGTATTGTTCAACGTTTGTATTCATTATGGTGTAATCGCAATACTTAACGTTTGAATGTATGTTGTTTAATTTATTTTTTTGTTTAAAGCCTTTGGTAATTATTTAACGTTTATAAATGAATTGTTTAGTATTATTTATTTATTATATATTTGTTATTCTTTATTTATCTCTCTTTCCTCCTTTCCCCTTCATTCCTCTTATCACCTTTGTATCTACCTTCCCTCTTCCTTCTCCTCTCCTTATCATCCAGTCCTCTTCCTCCTCCTACTCTGTTTCCTTCCCTCACCCACCCCCTTCACTCTGCGTCTATTTACCTCTTCCATCCCCTCCTCCTTCCATCATCCACTTCTAACTCTCCTCATCGTCCTCTTATTTCCACCCCCACCATCCTCTTCTCCTTCTAACCCTCCTTCTCTTCCTCCTACTTCCAATCCCACCCTCTTCTCCCTCTACCTATCTACCACATCTCCTCCTCTCCTCGTCTCCTTCCTATTTTCATCCTTACCTTCTACCTCTCTGCTCCTACCTCCTCCACTTCCCCCTCTTTCTCTACCACCACCTCCTTCCATCCCCCCACCACCCTCTCCATCTCCACCACCACCTCCTTCCACCCACCCTACCACCCATTCCTCCACCCCCATCGTGATTGTAAGCCACCACACGATAAACTGTTCCACGGATACAATCCCGATCTCCTCAAATTCCCTTAAGTTAGATGTTCATGGCGAAACTCCCCAACCCGTGTTCTTGTTCTGTATTTTGTTCTTTTCGTGTTCTTTTCTTGTTCTTTTGTTTGCTGTTGTTGTTTATTGGTTTTTTTTTAGTAGGCCTATAGGTTGTTTTTAAGATATTTTTCTCGTGTTTTTTGTTTTCAGTATATAGCTAATCACTTTCTGAGTTTTTTTATTAAATATAACTAATCATTCTTAACGTTTTTAATTCAGTTTAATTAATCAATCACTATCTATTATTAAATTCTTATCTCTTCGGATGGTTTTGTTTTCCTACGTTGCAAAAATAACTTTTCATTCATTTATTTCCCTTTTTGTTTACAGTAAGAACGAAAGCAAACAGTGACTGGAGAGAGAGAGAGAAAGAGAGAGAGCGGGGGGTGGGGGGGGGGTTGACACTTAGCTCTAGAACGTACTTAGTAAGAGAGGAATTTAGCTTTCAAGATTGACCCATCCCCAAAATTATACCATTCATATAATTTTTTTTTCATATACCTTAGTACTGTATTTCTTATAGTTTTGCTTTCATTGTATTGATATATTTCATGTGATTTTGTATTTTCTTGTTTATTTTTGTTGTATAATTTTTTTTTTGTTCTTTTGTGAATGTTTGGAGATGTTTGTTTATTTATGGCTATTGTTTTGCTTTTGTTTGGTTAGTTCTCTTCTGTTATGATTACCTGAGTGTCTTAGATTATAAGCACCTGTGTGTATTTTGCGTTATGAATATCTTTGAATCTTGCGTCATGATTATTTGAGCATCTTGCATCATTAGTATCTGTGCATCTTGCTTCATAAGTGCCTGTGTACCTTGTGTGTCATGAGTAACTATATATATCTTCCTTCGTGATTATCTGTGTAAACCTTGCGTCATGATTACCTGTGCATCTTGCGTCATAATTACCTATGTAACCCTTGCGTCATAATTACCTATGTAACCCTTGCGTCATAAGAACCTGTGCATCTTGCGTCATGACTTGTACCATCAGGTCAGGAACATCAACCCTCTTGTGAAAGTCGCTGGAATCTGCAGGGCATCAGTGAAGGTTGACGTGGATGGCATTAAACTCGACAGCCACTGGACACCAGACACAGTTAGACACCAAGAGGACACTCCTCACCATTATGTCCTCTTAACATTGCAGAGTCTTTGGTGGTGCAAGACCTCCTCTGAGTGCGGGAAGACCTCTCCGTGTGTAAGAGTTCTAAAGGTGTTCCCATCATCACCCTGAAAGAGGAAAGAAAGATTTAATGCTGATAGTCTTTTTTTTTTTTTCATAGTGTTTTTGTTTTGATGTTTATGTTATTTGTTTTGTGGTATGTTACGTTTAGTTATGTACTTTTCTTTTTTCATGGTAATAAGTTTATAGATATCTGTGTATACCTTATGCCTGAAATAGATTATTACCATTACTATTATCTACAGTCCTACTCCTCATCCTAATCTTCACATACCATATAATTATTATTATTTTATGACCTAAAAATACAAAAACAGAAAAAACACATCAACTTTCTATCACAATGGCTGGAACCTTCACCTAACACTAGCCAGAACTACAGCACAGTTTCTGTCATTGGTACAGTATGTAATTATAATGTAATCTATGGTAAAAGTGGAATAAAAGAGACGCAGGAGGTAAGGAGAGTGAGAGAGCGACTGTGGGGTGTGGCAGGACTCTTGTGGTATCCTGTCTGGCATCCTGAGAGAAGAACAGGGATGGTGGTTTAAGGATTTGGGCAAGACTACTTTAGTGATATTCTGAGTGAAGAGCCCCTCGCTGGCTGGCACGGAGGGGGGCTGGGTTGTAGGGTGTGGTAGGTTGTAGGGTGTGGTAGGTTGCGTGGTGTGGTAGGTTGTAGGGTGTGGTAGGTTGTAGGGTGTGGCAGGTTGTAGGGTGTGGCAGGTTGTAGGGTGTGACAGGTTGCATGGTGTGGCAGGCTGTAGGGTGTGACAGGTTGCATGGTGTGGCAGGTTGTAGGGTGTGACAGGTTGCATGGTGTGGCAGGCTGTAGGGTGTAGGTTGTGTGGCAGGGCAGGTGTGACATGGTGTGGCAGGCTGTAGGGTGTGACAGGTTGCATGGTGTGGCAGGCTGTGGGGTGTGACAGGTTGCATGGTGTGGCAGGCTGTAGGGTGTGACAGGTTGCATGGTGTGGCAGGTTGTAGGGTGTGACAGGTTGCATGGTGTGGCAGGCTGTAGGGTGTGGCAGGTTGCATGGTGTGGCAGGCTGTAGGGTGTGTAGGCAGGCTGGAGATGGATACCAAATACTCCTTCCTCTGCTGGGGCCCCGAGTGATGTTGATTTTTCCATCGACGAATCATCAAGATCTGAGAGCATTTGTAAACAAGACCATCAGGAACTTGTCACCACTGAATGATGAATGAGTGTGAAGTGCTATATGAGATCCTTCTTTGCTAATTACTCTTAATAGGATTCTTAACCCACCCCCCAAAAAATATCTCACTGTGGACAAAATTCTTTTCTGCCGACTCGTATATCACAAAGTTTAATGAAGAAATTAAAAGTTTAGGGGAAGGAAAATATTTGAGGGAAAAATATAGAAAAATGTTTGAGGAATTAAGACGGTAAATTCTATTGAAAATTACTGATATATAATTTCCAAATATTATTTTTTTGTTTTGTTTTTCACTACCAATACCAATTCTGAGTTAAAGTATATATATATATATATATATATATATATATATATATATATATATATATATATATATATATATATATATATATATATATATATATATAGTTTAAAATAAGCATAATAAAGTAAATTAATTGACTCAGGTAGTTTATGTATAAACATCATTATATCCTGGTTGCATTATACATACACCAGGAACAATGACGCCATCAACACTTAAACTATGAAAACCTTGTATATATCAACTCTGTCTCTTCCTTCAGTGTATAATATTTGCAAACAATTATTACACAAGTGGCTTAATGATGACGTGTACTGTACTCTAATGATCAGAAAATGTTGAACACTTGAGGATGATAATGAGGAGGAGTTTTTCTTCTTCTTTTGAACTGTTTATAAATGATTGAACCTGGAATAATAATACAAAGATGTTAAATTAAATGAGATGAATTAATATATACTGTATATATATATAACTGTAGAATGATAAACAGTGTCATTTTGAGTTAATTAACAAAAGATTACAGTATGATAAACAGGGTGATTGTTTGAGGTAATAAACATAAAACCACAGAATGATATAGAGTGACACTGAGCTAATCAACATACAACCACAGAATGATAAACAGAAACACACTGATACTTTTAATAAACAAAATGATAAAATTAACCTGAAAAACCCCACAGAAACAGTACGACAATGAAATTCCTAAACGCTTAATTCACTACACGGACGAAGACAATGGGACGAGGAGGAGAAGGAGGTGGTAGTGGCATGACGTTAGTACAGGTAGAGACAATAGACCATCTCCATTTACACACTTTAAAAAAAAAAAACCTTTCAGTCTCCCCCCTTACTGCCTTCCAAGGTTCTGTAAATGAAGACTCCACTAAAACAGCTGCTCCATCTTGCCTGTTCGTGAGTGGATAGGGTGGGTGATGGCGCTGGACTATGTTGACAAAAGACCTTCACTCGTATACACTCATTCATTCACTCACTTACTCAACTATGCATGAGACAAAAAGCTCCTCGCCCACCATCTATTCCCCCCATCCTTCCCCTCCCCTCACCCTCCCCCTCCCACCCCCCCTCCCCTTCCTCCTCCCACTACTATCTTGTAAAGCCGTCTGGTTCCTCTTAACCTGGAAACACGGTCATGGTACCCCAGGCTGGTCTTATAAGAGGGTCTATCTTATGGTGGTCTTGTTTAGGAAAGGACTGACCAACAATTACTCTCTCTCTCTCTCTCTCTCTCTCTCTCTCTCTCTCTCTCTCTCTCTCTCTCTCTCTCGTTTTTACAGTGAAATTTATTTATTTTTACTCACCGAACAGAAATTCCTGGGTGATTTAGCTATCTAGACAAATATTTACATTTAACAAACAAGAATAAAACAGGAAAATTGTGAACGATCATGTCTGTGTGTTTATTGCTCAAAATAGAGAAGAAAATGGTCGATTTCACTTGTTATGACCTAAAGGAACAGTAATTTTCATAATATTCGGGATTTTTTCTTTTTTTTTTACCTTAAGTGGTTGATTAAGCTGATATTAACTATTTATGGGTTAATATAATGGTTATGTGCTTATAAATAATCCTCAGAGGGTAAAATCCTGTCAGTCAGTTAAGTTCAGTTTCTTGTGACTGTACTGAAGAGGTTGACCAAGAAAGGTGGTAAAATAGTGATAAGAGATTAACTGAACGTGATTGAACACCCCTAATGCTACCCTACCCTACCCTACCCTACCCTACCCTACCCTACCCTACCCTACCCTACCCTACCCTATGATAAATGATGAACACCAACTCGCTTTATATATACATAATATTTTAATAGTTGGAAAAAAATCCTAAACTGTCAAAAGTTGTTACTGTTTACGTATTAGTTTGAAATGAATTTGACAAACACGTGTGAGAGGAGTCGATAGGTGGAGAGTGTCAGAAAGTAGGATGGTTTACTATTGATGTAATGGTCATAATGTAGAGTTTGTTGTATTGATCAGGTGCCTAAATTATCGAAATGCCCAAGAGGAAATCTACAAACATATCTTTCCTTTTGTTACGTGTATATGTAAATGAAGAAAGAGAGAGAGAGAGAGAGAGGGGTAATAATAATAGTAATAATAATAGTGAATAATAATAATAATACATCTCATTTTCCACACTTGGGTTACAAATACTAGAGACCTACACGGCGCCCCAGCACAATTTACAAATGCAAGACAATCACCACAAAGGAATAGCCATAACCCACTGCATTACCAACAAACACAAAGACGATATTGACTATAAGGATTTTCTTGAACAATAAACTAGTCATACATTATACGTGTATATATGTAATGTATGTATATTTAGTATATGTGTGTGTGTGTGTTAATATACATCATACACACCTCACAAAATACCATTCTCCATTATGCATACACAAACTCACTTTAGATTTCATTGTCATTCAGAGCTACGAGTTGATTTTTTCTTTAATATTTCTCAAGGTTCACATTCTATATATCATTTATATTATTATCAATACAAAACTAATTTTCCACCGTGAGTTTGAGAATTGGTTGATATATTGACGTGAGGCTTCCTGTGTGTGTCGGGGCGAGAAGTGAAGTTCACCTGTCGAGTTTTAATATAGGTAAATATATGTATCAGGTGTTGGGGGGAAAATATGCGCCAGGTGAGAGTCGCTATGTTGGTGTGTGAATGTTGCTATGTTGGTGTGTAAATGTTGCTATGTTGGTGTGTGAATATATATATATTTTTTAATTGTAGTGTTTTAATTTATTGTTATTGTTGTTGTTATTGTTATTATATCACTTTGGAATAGCGCGCGCGCGTGTGTGTGTGCGGGTGTGTGTGTGCGTGTGTGTGTGTGTGTGTGTGTGTGTGTGTGTGTGTGTGTGTGTGTGTTGTTTATATCTCTGTACATTACACAAGAGAGGCGGGCTCAGTGGACACAAATTACCCATTATTTTATAACTAAAGACTCGGAGGTTACATTGCTAGACATTCCTCTCCCTCCCTCTCTCCCTGCCTCCCTTACCCCCTCCCTTACCCCCTCCCTTACTCCCCCCACACACACACCCCACGACAAGGAGGAGAATAAAATACACCATCACCACCACACCACCACCAAACACCACCACCAACCACTACCACTATCACCATCCTAGATCACCATCATTCCACAGCACCACCACCACCACCACTCACCATCCTAGATCACCATCATTCCACAGCACCACCACACCACTACTATCACCACCACCAACCATACTACAATCACCACCCTAGATCACCATCATTTCAGCACCACCACACCACTACTATCACCACCACCACCAAACACCACCACTACCACTATCACCACCCTAGATCACCATCATTCCACAGCACCACCACACCACCACCACCAAACACCACCACTACCACTATCACCACCCAGATCACCATCATTCCACAGCACCACCACCACCACCACCACTCTACTCCACCACCACCAACCACTACCACTATCACCATCCTAGATCACCATCATTCCAACAGCACCACCACACCACT